CTCACAATTCTAATTTTTTTCTCAGAATTGTGAGATTTTATTTCTCACAATGAGTTATAAAGTCAGAATTGTGAGATATAAACTCACAATTGTAAGAAAAGAAAATCTCTTGGAATAGTTTGTCTTTTTTCCCCTCTGAATTGGACTTTATGGGCCCTATTTTAACGATCTAAGCGCAAGGTCTAAAGCACACGGCGCAGGTGCACTTAGGGCGTGTCCAAATCCACTTTTGCTAGTTTAACGACGGGAAAAATTGTCGGCGTGCCCGGTGCATGGTCTAAAAGGTTTGTCCCTATTCTCTTAATGAGTAATGGGTGTGTTTTGGGCATAACGTGCAATAAACCAATCAGAGTCTCATCTCCCATTCCCTTTAAGAGCCAGTTGCGCTCATGCCATGGCGGATTTGCTATTTACACGGCGGAATTTGCAAGCGCAAAGACAGAACGCGTCTCCAGAGAGGAAACGGATCTGCTCGTGCGCGAGCAAATAGGTAGCCTAATTCTGATACATGCAATGACTATCCATTATGACATGTAGGCATTTTTATATTTATGTAGCCTACACAATAATAATCTTTTACATTGCAATCCTTTAATTTTTAATATTTGGCATATTTGTGTGCTGCTGCCCTATTACCCTGTGTGTGTAATAAGCAGAGTGTATGTGCGTTGTGCACCCGCCTATACTAACGCGCTCTTTAAATAACAAAAAAACTACTGCGCCATTGACTTTAGACCAGGTTTTAGTTGGTCAATGGTGCAGTCTATTTCAGTTGCCTCAAAATAGCAACGCGCCAACAATGCACCTGAACACACCTCGTTTTCAGACCAGCACGCCCATGAGCGCACAAATGGGTGCAAATGCATTTGCTATTTAAACATTGTGGCGCAGGACGTGAAAATGATAACTGCGTCGGACTGAAACTACCAAAAAACACTTGCGTCGCGCCTGGCACCGCATTGCGCCAGGTGTATGATAGGGCCCCATAACTCACAATTGCGAATTTATATCTCACAAATCTGAGAAAAGTAAACAGAATTGTGAGATATAAACTCGCAATTGTGAGAAAAAAGTCAGAATTACGTTTTTTTATTTTTTTTATTTAGTGGCAGAAATGGGCTTCCATATGCAGGTTTGAAACGACATGACAACAGAACATACATTTTTTGTTTAACATTAATGCAAAGGCTGGGAAGTTTTTTAAAAAACAAGACATTAATTATTGATGTTCAACCTGAATGTGGCATTCTTGTCAAAAAAATGTACCAACTAATGAAGCCATTTTACAGAGAGCGACAGAAGACATCAATGCCCTTCTGCCTGCCGACACCCCCGATGACTCTACCCCATTGCCGCCTGGAGGAGACCCTTCAGGTAACGAACAACTGACACCTGGTCAACTGTCTGATAAGAATGAGTGATGGGCTCTTTTTAAAAACCACATGTTGCTCACAAGAGCCCTTATTTGTTCATTAGTTATGTCTATGTAAGTGGGAAGTTTCATTAACTTTTCTGTTTTTAATCAAATTTTCTACATGTTCCAGACCTTCCAACTTGTCTACTGTGTGTGTGTCTAACTGGATCTGTCTACTGTGAGGAGGTCGACCCAGATATGACGTCAGTGCCTGCTCTGCCAAAGGAGACAAACTACCTCTATGCTCGGTACAACAAGATAAAAAAGATAACAGCCAAAGATTTCGGAGATATCGGTGAGTTCTTCCTGACTTGACTTGCTCTGGCATTCTCGTTGACCGCCCTTTTCTGTTGGGGGAACATATACAATTCTTGTGGACAGGATAAGGGATTACCCTTAAGGAGAGCAGGAGGCAAACAGCTGCTTCTTTTCAGAAACAACCCAGAATCCATTTCATCCAAAAGATTTCCAAATGTTAAGGGACATGATATACAAACCACAATGCGATCACAAGAGATTGCGAGTTTTTCCGTTGCATAAAGACATCGATCACATTTCGGAACCACAACATCCTACAGAACATGTGTTGACAAAAACTTGCAAATGTGGTAAACTACTCTGTTTGCAGCAGTGCATCATGGGTACAACAAAGTTAGCTAGAGGCCTTTAGGGGACTCATGCATCAAAGGCTTTTAAAAAAAGTTTATTTGATAATTTGTTGAATATATATATAGGGTATTCACAATTGATGCTAATGGAACACTCAATAATAAGGTGACTTTTGACAGCACGAAAAAAGTTAAAAGGAGCATAAAATTTTTAACAAACAAAAACTGCAAGCAAGTACGAAAAAAATAACCACGTGGATGGCAGGAGTGTAATTTCCGAGCCAAACTGTCTAGGTGTCTAACATATGACGCTTAACCTTCACATGATCAATTTAACGCTCTTCTGTCCATTTCCATTCATCTAATATAGTTACCCTGAAGAGAATCGACTTCACTGGAAATATAATTTCTGAGATTGAAGATGGTGCGTTTGCTAAGCTTACCATGCTAGAGGAGCTCTCACTAGCCGAAAACCTGCTGGTCAAGCTACCAATGCTACCGGCGAAATTAGTCTCCTTTAATGCTAATCACAACAAACTGAGGACCAAAGGAATCAAGTCAAATGCTTTCAAGGTAAAGAGCCACAAATTACACTACCTGTTTGAAAACACTTCTAGCCAATGCACAACCTTTTGTTTTGAATGATGTTTTGAAGTGACTTTTTCATTTATAGAAAGAATACCCTACCGAATTGATTTAATCAAGACAAAGACAGCCTTATTTGTTATTATTTTAACCTTTTGCTCTCAAAATTGTTTTGCTTTGACTTCCAGAAATTAAGCAAACTGACACATCTGTATCTTGCTCACAATGAACTGGAGGCGGTTCCTCTCATTCCAGAGACTGTCCGCACACTTCACCTACAGGTTAGAAAGCTGAACATGTTTTGCATGCTAACAAGTCTTCTGCACAGAAATTATACAAAAAAATTTTTTTTTAAATGTAAAAAAAAAAAACATCTTGAGGGAACTCTAACCCCTTCTCTTGCTGTGTTTTCAGAACAATAACATTTCAAGCGTGACTGTGGACACCTTCTGCAAAAGTAACAACACATACTACATCCGCCACAACATGAACGAAATCCGTATGGATGGAAATCCCGTCATCCTCGGCCAGTACCCCAACAGTTTCATATGCCTGCAGTCTCTGCCAATTGGGCGATACCAATGAAAACAGAATCAAAGGTACACCCCAGTGAGAAGTCCTTGGATAGCAAATGATGATGACTAAAACCGAGAAGCAAAAGTCATTCAATCTCCTGGTGCCTGAGCACAGATAAGTGTAAAAGTTAATACCATGAGAACCTGCATCATATATCTAATTATGTAACAGCTGCCCAAACACTTAGATTCCCTCTTGATATTGACTTTGTAGATGAACCTGAACCACAAGTCTTTGAAAGAATAACTTCATATCCATTGTAAATAACCACCGGAGGCTACTGCTTAGAAAAATGTGAGATCATGAAAAGCTGCAGTCAAGCTTCTAGTATTCCTCAGAACTCTGTGAATTTCTGACACTTTCTAGTACTGTTAAATGGTCTTACTTTAGTTGAAATTAAGATGCCTGCTAAGTTAATTAGAGGGCGAGGAACTCATCCCAACTTCCAAGTCACTGATCTTTCCCAGCTGACTTTTACTTTAATGTTTTGAATATTATTTATATGCTAAATGTGTAATTACTACCTATATGTGAACCAAACATGAATAGTGTACAGTAAAACATTGTATGAAATCAACATGTTATGTTTGCTTTTGTTGTTCAAATACACTTCTTTTTTTCTAAAAACTTGTGACTAGTTTGCTTTTATCTTTTACAACTATGTCAGACTGTAGTTGTAAAAAAAAAAAAAAAAAGGCAGTTCCAAAGAGAGACCAAAACAACTGTATGCAAATTGCAAACCAATCAAACCCAAAGATTTTGCACACAGAAACTTCTGGAAAAAGTGGGGTAATATTGTTCCATTTAACTGCCCAAATTGGCAGCCATTACAGCACAATGATCCAAGCAAATAATGGAATGTTTTTCATACTGACTCGAAGGCTTCATTCCCAAACTTTCACTGCCATCGAGTCATGGAATTTGTTCCCAATCTGGCATTCAGCAATCTTTCTCATACTTATGAAAGTCTCATGATATATACAGTACATACATATTTCTACTTACAAGAAGAAAAATAAAAGTGGAGAACTTTGTTATTCCATGTAGAATCTTTGAAATATATATTTTTCCTCAAAGGAATTAAATAAATCAGGTGTCTTTGTTTTGGATACACATTGGTCTAAATAATCATATTCCTTCTAACTTATTACAGTATTAACTTATTATAAGGCTTTTATGAAAGTTATAGAAACACAAACTTTTTCATTACTAGGCCTGTCACGATAACAAGTTTTTATTGTGCAATATATTGCCCCAGAAATAATTGCGATAAGCGATATTATTGTAATTTTATGCCACTGAATATATAATCATAATGTAACAGCATAATAATGCAAGAAGGCCTACACACTTCCAAATGACAACAAACTTTTCATTTTTAAGAATATTTAAATCATGGAAATTAAGAATCAAAAATATTAGATACCTTTAAAACTTGAATAAATAGTAAATAAACATTTTCTAACAAAAAGTGCAAAATAACAAGTAGAAAAAAAGAAAAATGCAAAAAAAAACAATAAGTCGATATATTGATTATTGCGACAGGCCTATTCATTACAAATTAAATTATCAGCATAACAACAACAAAAGTCTGAATACTACCAATTGGACATATCGCACCACAACCAATCAGAGAAATTTTAATTTAAGTCCCTTTTTGGCAAGTTTGTGTGTAGCTGTGACTAGATTTCAATAAAAGTCACAATTTCTTTCATGATCAATGAGAACTGACATTGCTGTCAATTCTCAGTACTCAAGTATTTGTGCTCATACATATTTGGTTGAGCACTTTATTCCCTGCTTCTATTGCTGGTTACCTGAAAGTGCTGAAACGTTTGACGCCTCTCCTCACATCTCTCAGAGAACGTCCTCAAGGTCCTGAAGAACAAAAGAAGATCTTTTGTGTCCTCCACTCTGCAAACAAGACAGTATTGTTACATTAATACCCCATAACACCCAACATTGTATTGCTCACTTTGGTCAATTCTAATTAGATTATCTTAAATTATTTGATTAGAAAAAATAATGACAGGGAAATATCCTCCTTGATGTAAAATTCAGCATACAATGTAGAAGGATAAACTGTGTATTTGTGTTTAATCCCATTCACAGGCTGACATTACGAGACATTTTGAGATTTTCCATAGATTTACCAGGGGCCCAGAAACTGTGGCACAGAATGCAACTTTCCATGACTCTGGAGTCTTGTCTGTGAAAGGCCGGTGTTGTAATGTGTGATGGAAAAATGGTAAGTCTCTCAAAACTAAATGGATCCACTCCAAGAGTAAAAGACAGCAGCTTAATGGCAAGAGTTGGCGAAAAGGCTCCCTGAGAATATCTAAGCACCAGACAATTAATGTACGCCTTAAATTTTTTGGATTTGGGTGAGCTTAAAGTTTACAAACATTCATCAGTCATCTGGATTGACTGATGTCTAGCGCTGTTTAAAAGAAACCCCAGACAAATCACCCTCGCCGACGGATCTCATTTTGTAATCCGGGCAAATTTCCATAGTATGCATTTCAGATTTGTTGATTGGGGACCTTGAATCTGAAAAAGTCATTTTAAACCACGCTGTCCTAGAATGCTAACCTTTTAAGTTCAACAGACCAAACATAATGAATGCCAGGATCGCTCTACAGACCGATTAATGGCAAATCAATGTTTGGCTGCTTTGTATGTCACTAAATTTGTCCCTTCAGTTTTTCTCATTTGCCTGGTTATGCTGCCAAGAACCTGTGGTATGTACTAATATTAGACGTATAGGTTCCAAAAACCTGTGTGGTTGTGCTTTGTTTCAAACTTCACACTTGTCAAAAATCAAAACATCAACAACAGAACAAAAGTTGCAAACATAGCTATAGAGGATACAGTAATGAAAGCACAAAAACTTTCTCCCCAGACATGCCTGAACCCACTTATGTACCTGACCACAAGAATGCTCAAAAAATTCTTAAGTTTACATGGACCATAATGGTTATAAAATGCGTATTCCTGAGTCGCAGAGACAACTCAGACTTATGCGAGAATCATTATCTCCAGTATTTTTCCGACTCTCTCGTGCCAGGACTCTCAGACCAGACAATATGATCCAGATGCACATTCAGCGACCAGGAGGCTGGCTGCACTTTAGAAAAGGACCCAAACAAATCGCCGCCAAAACAGCAGCATTACTTCAAACTGTAATTTGTCATCCCAGCCAAAAAATCCTGTGACTAAGTGGAACAACCACAGAAGATCCTATAGTCATGTTTTTAGAAAACAAAACTCTGAAATGTAAAGAAATTCATTGGTAATTCAAATGTATGAGTGTAATGCATTTACATTTCAAGTGGTATCAGTGGTAATCAGAGTGTCGTTGGTTTGAATCTTTGGAAATGTACCATAAAGCTACAGATACTGTTTGACATGAAAGGATAAATATAGCAGCAGAATAAGTTAACCACAAGCATGAATCTTCCCTACTGGAAGTCACAGATTCAGACCTCAGCTCTCTTTTCAAGTATATTGCAAGTATGATGTACAACACAATCTAAATAACCTAACGTTTTAATTATCTCGGCTGTGTTCTCTGTGGATTGCTGGATACATCAACATCAAAAGGTGTTACTTTAATGGGAAGTGTTGTGCTGTACTCGTTAAAGTAATAATAGAAGACAGAACTGCACTTCAGACCACAGGAATTTTATCACTCTAAACCAACAAATAAAGCAAATTCAAAGGTCTCTGGTGGAGTTGCCTGTACAGACTGTCCTGATTCACACAGTCCAGAGTGACCTTCAGGTGGTCCACACGTTCACTTTTTACAGTGCACACACTGTGGGGTGCTGTTGGCTGTCAATGACTTGCTGGTGCCATTTGTTGACAGTTTAATGAGCGGGACATGTTACGGACCGTCAACATAGCACTTTTAAACATTAAATCCACACATCATTATGTGGGGTGCAGTGTTCTTCTGGACTCAACTGACTGAACCTCATTAAAGCACCAGAAGAGCAACCATCTATAATTTAGAAAGAGTTTACTCCACCAACATAAAAAAACATGCTCCTGCCGTGAAGCTGCTCTGTAGGAGCTTTACCACAAATGTAGAACAATACAAAACAAACAGAACAGAACAAAAAAAAGCACAATACAGCAACAGATGACAATAGAATAGAACAAAGCAGAACAGAAAAAAAAAAAATGGGTAAAATCTGTGAACAAACTTTGAAGTTGCTTGAGATAGTCTAGCCTGAAAGTTGTTAGCATGTTTTTAACATGATTCTTATGTTGCTAGCATGTTTCTAGCATAATTACCATGTTGCTAACAGAACTGAACAATAGAACAAGACAGAATAAATCACAATAGTGCAGAAAACAACAGAACAGAGTGCAGTGGAACAACAAGGAAAAAAACACAAACTGAATACAATAGACCACAGCAGAAAATAGAATACAGCAGAAAAAAAAGACTAAACAGAATAAACAAAATCCAACAGAATAGAACACAACAGAACAGAATAGAATACAACAGAACAGAACTGAATACAATAGAACAGAAGGGAAGAAATAGGCAGCTACCACAGATATGGACCACATGCCTAATGATCAGAGATCATGCCGCTCTGGGTTCACCATTTCCCGCTCCCGCTCCACTGATCAGAAACACCGCTCCGCGGCTAAATTATTTCACTATGCTTGAAAAATCAAAGTTCTGTTCAGAAATTATATTAAACGAAAAATAAATGCATAATACTAGAAGAAAGGGTTGCCAACTTTAGAAAATGAATATACGGGACAATTTTGTAAATACGGGTGTGACCGTGAAGAGTTCAGATGCAAAAGCCTCTAAGTGCTGTCTGAAATTTTTATCTAAAATGAGCATTTTCATCAGGCTCCTATGTTTAGGTTCAGTAATGTTACTCTAATTGCAATGTATACGTCATTTTCTATTGAATTAAAGTGAAATAACTGAACATAAATATAGGAGCCTGATAAAAATGCTCATTTTAGAAGAAAAAACGGACGGTACCATATAGAGACGGTACCATATAGAGGCTTTTGCATCTGAACTCTTCATATATATATAATATGCATGAAAATGTGTATTTTTCAATTAAAGACAGCTTATAGATTTAATATGGGCTGCTTTTGGTGCTTGACACCTTTTTATTGGTCATTTTGTGTTTCAAGAATAAGGTCCAAAGGTTAAGATTTATGCTATTAGTTACTTAAATATAAAACGTTTTTCTCTATTTAACAACATTACAATAGTGAAGGACGACTTCCCTGTGGGCTGTGGATGATGACAGGTATCGGTGATCATTCTCAAGTGATCAGCACCACTGCTGTTGTATCAGTCAGTGGTTAGATCAGCATAGCAGTCAAAAAACGGGACAAGGGAGGTCACATACGGAACAAATCAATTAGGCCCAAAATACGGGATGGTTGGCAACCCTATGTACAACTTACAACATGCTTTAACCTCCTGCACTCGTCCATCGCCATTTTAACCTTCAAATGTGATCCACATATCTGTCAAGCTAACTAATTATGTTTAATGCGTGAGTTGGCATAATTTGTGCTCGTGACGGAGCGGTAGCTGAGCGAGTGAAAACCTCAACGCTCCGACTTTCAAAAAATCCGCTCCTAGCTCCAGGCAAAATCGCGCCGCTCCGCTCACATACTCTGGCCTGGACCACGAATAAACAAATCCTTCAGCTGCAAGCATAACAGAAATCCCTCAAACACATAAACAAAGCCATTATTTGTCTAATGATGGAATATAAATTTTTTTTTTTTTTTAAAGTAAATATTTTTGAGGTTATGTGTTATTTCACTTAAACACTGCCTCATATGAAGGATTCTCAAGAGTACATCACTGTCAGTCAATCAGTCGGCAGCGGATCTAACCTGACCTCGCGACACTTTCCAATCAGAGAGATCTGCTGAGAAAATCAGATCTCTGCGGGAACTCTCTCACATCGTGTTAACAACAGCTGGTCAGGGTTCACTCAGCATCCAGCTAATGAGCCACTTGGATACTTTTTTTTCCCTCTTATATGAAGTTTTGTTTGAATTTGTATATTTTTACAAGACTAACATAAAGCAGAACACTCTTCTATGGTGTCTGGGAATTCACTTGCCTGATGTTTACTTACACTGTAGGTTTTATGTTGTGTAACCTATTACGCAACCTGGATTTTATCCAAATGGGATTTCTGTTGATTCAATTATGTAAACAAGCTAGATCCAACATTTTGTGAAGAGCACAAATTATCCATGGAATCCACTTACCTTTAAAAATAAATGTAAAAAAAATAATAAAATAAAATAATTATATTATATTAAAGTAATAGATCACCCAAAAATGAAGATTTGCTAAAAATTTACTTACTCTCAGGCCATCCATGTGTTTGTTTCTTGATCAGAACAGATTTGGAGAAACGTAGCATTACATCACTTGTTCACCAGTGGATCCTCTGCAGTGAATGGGTGCCGTCAGAATGAGAATCCAAACAGCTGATAAAAACATCACAAAAATCCACAAGTAATCTACACGACTCCAGTCCATCAGTTAATGTCTTGGGAAGTGAAAAGCTGTGTGTTTGTAAGAAGCAAATCCATCAAGGCATTTTAACTTCAAACAGTCACTTCTGGTCAAAATATGAGTCCAGTGAAAAAGTCCACCCCTTGTTGTCCTCTCACATCAAAATCCACCAACATATTTGTTTAGAGCTGTTTTGGCTTGTAAACGGTGCTTGAACGGTGTAGATTTCTCTCCTGATTCAGATGAGACAATTTTTTCACTGGAGATAGCAATATTATGAGTATTCATTTATTTGATATTTTAGCCAGAAACAATGGTTTAATGTTAAAAATTTCCTAATGACCAATTTATTACAAATATGCAGCTTTTTACTTCACAAGACATTAATTGATAGACTGGAGTGGTGTGGATTTCTGTGGTGTTTTTATCAGCTGTTTGGACTCTCATTCTGATGGCACCCATTCACCGCAGAGGATCCATTGGTGAGCAAGTGATTTAATGCTACATTTCTCCAAATCTGTTCTGATGGAGAAACAAACTCATCTACATCTTGGATGACCTGAGGGTAAGTAAACTTTCCTTAAATTTTCCTCAAAATCCCTTAAAATACAAACACACCAATGATATTAAGCAGTTACCAATCATCACTCTACCTGGACACAAATGCAGAGAAATCTTTGAATTCAACACCATCCACAACGATATTGAGCTCTGTAACTCTCCTGAGCAGAGCATCACCCTCCTGTAAAAAAACACTGAGAATTAAACAGTATCATAAATAATCTTAATAAATAACCTTAAATTGATCTGCATTTATGCATTTATTCTATTACCTGTCATGAAACTGATGGTTTATGGGATTTCCTCTCTTCAGGAAAGAAACTGATTTTTTTTATTGTGAAAACTGGAGCACAAATCTGCTTTCACTTTTTTATGCGCTTTATATAACGCTTCAAGTTTATTCTTGACTATTGTCATGGTAAAGATTTTAAATTTTAAAGATTTTTTTTTTTAAACATTTACTGCGAGTCAGCTTTAGATGTTCCAACACAAATAAAACCTTCATCTTCAGAGTTATATGTTGATCTTCCAAGGGCTGCCAGTTTAAAATAACTCACAATTTTTAAGGGTGCCATCAGTCACCAACCAACAGTTCTATTCTGAATTATTTATTACAACTTTGTAAAATATTTGTGCTAAGGAGGTCCCTCGAAGAACTGGATGTATGCTTGTCATGAAGATTTCAGAGAAAGAAGAAGAACTAGAAAAACTATAATGCCGAATCTACTCCATTAAAGAGACAGTTTAAGTCTACTGCACAAATCTGATGTTGAAATGACAAAGTCTCGGTCAAAATGGAGACATGCTGCCCTCTAGTGTTGAGTATAAGAACAATCATGGCAGGCTTCACTGGTTCTAATAACAATGGACTTTATGTGGTTTAAATGATTGTAGGTGAAATGTGAGAATTTCAGTACTTGACTACATTTTCTGAAGACCACTTAAATGGCACTTTAAAATACAAAACATGATACTCATCACTTACCTTTTTCCTTAACAAGCCACATGATTTGAGGCATTATACAGACTATACAGAGGGTTCAGGATTTAAACAAACCCCTAACACTAAGGCCCAATCCCAATTCTATTTTATACCCCTTCCCCTTGTCCCTTGAAACAGAGTGTCAAGGGGTAGGGGTGAAAATATTCCCCTAAGAATTGGGACACCACTACTATGCCGTCACACGTCATCATACGTCAATACACACACCTATGCTGCTGTGAATTAGAGCCTTTAATTATCGTTCTATATTAATGCGTTGCTTACTGACACACACACACACACACACACACACACATCAGAGATCGCGCAGCTCACACATCCAGGAGCAAAGAAACTTGTCAACGCTGCCCCACGACTTTTATAAATAACAGTTTAACTACTGAATCGCTACATTATATTTTCCAGCAAAAAGAGGATAAAATCTCTGTTTTTGAAGTAAACTCACTCTAAAAAGAGAAACGCACAGATGCGCATACAAGCAACTTTCATCTCTCTCTCTCTTTCTGTCTCTCTCTCTCGCTCTAGAATTGGCAATATTTGAGAAAAGGGTTTAGCGATTTATAATTATTGGGGGGACTAGCCCCCCTCAATGTCTATGGTGGTTATCGCCCTGATCAGACATGAAAATATGTTGTGGCGCTATCGTGCAGTTTGTAATGATATGACGTTAGCAAACTTTAGCGATTTTTTGCAAACATTTCTTTGAGTAACATGACCGTAAATATGAACTCACGATTGAAAGTAACATAAAACAAATTATTACTTTTCGTTAAAATCTTTATTAATGCCCAAAAATGCTTACAATTATGTGTCTTTTTGTTAGCTCGGGCAGCCATGTTGCCGCTGTAGCCGGTTTACGCTGAGATAATTCATACCCCTTCGTTTGAATCTGGCCCTTCCCCTACCCCTACAACCAAAAGAGAATTGAGACACCCCTACCCCTTCACGTGAACGCGCGAAACGGAGAGGTAGGGGAAAGGGGAAGGGCTAAGGGGTAGAATTGGGATTGGGCCTAAGTATGAGAAATCATAGCATGCAGAACTAATAATTAGAGAATAAAACTATGTAACTGTACAAATAGTAACTGATTTACAGCATCTTAAAATGAACTTTGTATGTTTTAAGGCCATGGTCTGGTTGCAACAAAAAATAGCAACGTGTTTGTAAGAAACAAACCATCATTAAGGCATTTTAACTTTAAACCATTGCTTTTGACCAAAATATGAGTTCATAATCCATAATATTACTTTCTTCAGTGAAAAAGTCCATGTGCATTTTTCTCTCCTGTTTAAACCGAGACATCTTTTTCACTGGAGAAAGCCATTTTAAGGACAGAGAACTAGTACTTAGCCAGAACCAACTGTCTTGATGGATTTGTTCTTTGAAAACACACGGCTTTTCTCTTCACAAGACGTTTAAAGGGGTCATATGATGCGATTTCAAGTTTTCCTTTCTCTTTGGAGTTTAGATTATTGTGTTTTTATCAGCTGTTTGGATTCTCATAATGATGGCACCCATTCACTGCAGAGGATCCATTGGTGAGCAAATGCTTTAATGCTAATTTCTCCAAATCTGTTCTGATGAAGAAACAAACTCATCTACATCTTGGATGACCTGAAGGTGAGTCAATTTTCAGGCAATTTTAATTTTTGGCTGAACTATTCATTAAAAAAACACCAAAACTCATAAAACAAATTATTACTAATTATATTACTAATTATAACCAACTGCAAGGCCGTGAATATCTTAAGTCCTAAAGCACACAATCTACATACACTCTTCTGGCAGGAGGAATATTTCAAACACCCTGCTTTGCAAAGAAGTATCTATTTTGCATGCATTTTGAAAGTGTATGTTAATTTTAATAAATAATACCTGTGTTAATACTATTAAGTGCACGCATAAATATTTAGTGACTTCTTTGTACCTGAATCTCAGTCACTGCAAATTCAACCTGGAACAAAAGTACACTGCAGTGACCTGCAAGTCTGAGCTGCTGTACAAGTTTTCTTTCACCTGAAGAGACAACAGAAGTTAGTAACATTTAAATACAACCCAGAGTATTTTTTTCAATAAACCGATAAATTATACAAATTATTTTGCAATTAAAAGCAAATTTAAAAAACTCACTTTTGTGCAATGTCTTTACAAAACACTCATTTAGAGCAATCCCATTGATTTCCGTCTGTCGTCTGAGGTCTTTTTCCAGCTCTCTGACTTCTGTGATCAGCTTTGAAAGAGTGGGTTTCTGTGCTCCTCCTCTTCCCTCAAACACTGACTTTCTGAAAGAGGAAAAAAACATTTAAACCCTAATGTAATTCCTTTTGTCCAGTCCTCAAGTGAACCATTTTCATTGTGGTTATCCTTAAAGATTTCACAATCACAGAAAGACTGTTTTTTTTTTTTTTAGCTTTTGTCCAGTTTACACTGCTATATGAAACTAGACAACATCCATTGAAAGGTAGTCCGTACTAACAGTTCATGCTGTAGTCGATCTCCATGCTCTATGAAAATGGACCGTAAAGTCTCCTCCTGTTCAGCCTCCAGCATTTCAATTTCCTGCTGGAGCATCTGGATCTCTTCTTCATATTTCTGCTCCATTATCTTCCTCAATCTACTAAAAAGCAGTTTATGAAAATACAAAAATATAGAGAGAGAGATATTACATAATATACACATTTACATAATATACATATAGCCTAAATAACATTTGCATGTCAGAATTGTTTTAATATGCAAAGGTTCTAATTAATCAGCTCAAGTCAAAAACCTTATCTTTTAAATTATCTAACCAATATATAACATTTCAACAAAATATACAACATACAGAAATAGATTTCACCGAATACATTTATCATTACACTCTGTAGGAGACAGTTCATGTCAAAAACGCTTTTATAAATGTATCACAAACCGACAGATTATCCTAACAGCTGTCCATATGTTAATTATACACCTTTATATTCCTTTATATAGTTTCATAACGATATTTTGAGAGTAAATCCGATGACAGGAGCTCGACTTGGCAGAGCAAATCAAAACATTAATCAGAAGAGAGCTCACTGAGGTAAAAACATCTAAAGTTGTAATGTAAACCTGTTTGTTATTTCTTATGTGGATTTAATACTTTGTGTAGAACTTATATCAACCTTAAAATCGAGTGTTCAAAGGAATAAACTTACTTTAATCTACTCCTGAAAATGAAAACTGCGACTTCACGATTCTGACTGATTCAACTAAATCCCGCGTCAACACGGAACATACCAAATGAGATCTGCAGGGGTGAACCATATCCAGAAACACACTAAAACATTTGAATATTCATCTAAATAGCATTATTATGAAGCTAAGTTGTTATAAACAGGTCTATTTATGCCTATAATCCTCAACGTGCATGACAGAAATCGGAAATTTGTCTAATATTACTTTTCTTTACTGTTTTGTCGATGGAACTTTCCATACCCTTCTCCGGTACATTCGCAAGCGGAACCAAAACACGTCCACGGTGTCACAGCGGAAGAGTTACAGTGTAACATCAGTATATACATACATGTGAATATTTGGCATGATCGTAAGTTTGTTTAGCGTTTTTTAATAATGCTTTTATTCTGCCTTATGGAATATTTTAGGAACTGTTTAAATATGAAATGTTAACGTAAGATATTGAGAAATTGAGATCCTACGGAGTGTACTTCTGTAATTATATGTTCATGTGTCTCATGGTTTTAAGATATAATTTACATAATGTGATAATTGTTGTAAGGGTGTTTTTGCAAGTTGAATTGAAATGAAGATGAAAAATAAAATAATTAATACTTAAGTTTGTGTACACGGCAAATGGTGATCGTTATTATACTGATATACAGTTCTATTCCTAAGTTTAACGTTACATAACTCTTTCATGTTCTGCAAGGTGTTTATTATATAAAAATATATATTATTTCATAATATATGCAATAGTTATAATTATTATAAAAAATAAAAGGGATCCTAACATTGTGTGGAGACTCCTTGAGCAACAATTGTTTGTAACTTGTGAAAACTGTGGTTGTACAGTCGAGATGCGTATTGGTAGTTATTTTGTTTCCCAGAATGCTCTGCAGTCTGCATGTTTGAGTTTTTTCTAAAATAATTATACAATGTTGAGTCCAGCTTTGTCTCTGTCAAGTGACAGTTGTAGATTATGTGTGTTTTGATGATACACAGAACGTGTTGATTGCATGAAATCTGGCCATGAAACGGTTGTACATCGGTGGTCTCGGGCACACAGTGTCTGAGAAGGACCTCAAAGACAGATTTGGAAAATTTGGAGATGTGTCAGATGTGGAAATCATTACGAGGAAAGATGAGAATGGTAGGAATTCTGCTAAAAACCAAAGGACATCTGACTGCTAAATGCCACAGAATGTTTGAACTGATTTTAATGTAATATTTTTATTGCATCAACTGGGTACCCATTCAATATTATTCACATTTTGCGCAATACCTTTGTGATCTGTTTGCAGGAGCTCCTCTGAAAACATTTGGCTACATCAACATAAACATCACAGATGCTGAATACAAAAGATGTATGTACAGTTATATAATAAATCCCTCTCGCTTAAAAATGTTTCCGTGTCATGCAGTAAATCAATTTGCTTTTTATACAGGTGTAGGCATCTTAAATAAATCCACATGGAAAGGTGGAACCTTGCTTATTCAGTTGGCAAAAGAAAGCTTTCTACATAGGTAAAAACTTTCTTCAACCAGTAAATATTGGTTAAACTATTTGTTGCTATATATACTGATTCTTTATATGTTTTTAAGGCTTGCTGAGGAACGACAGCAACTGGTTGAAAAGACCAAGACCCCAAAGATCATCCCTCAGGAGAAATTAGTGGACTCACTTAAAGTGACCGGCGGTGAGAATTTCCACATGAAAAAATTCCCGGCCATAAGGTCCGTGTCTGTGATTTTCTTTTGCTAATAATATTTGTCCAGTTGTAAAAATGGCCAGATGCTGATTTAACATTGATTTTGTGTTTATCCACTCTTCCAGAATTGGGTCGTGAGTAAATTTGGGAGGGTACTTCCTGTCCTGAACCTGAAGTATAAAGGAAAGAACAAGATATCCCTTTCCGTGCATTTTTCTCATCTTCACCCTTTCTTGTCTGCTGACATTGGGTTTTTGTAGTGAAGTGCCATTTCAAATTTGTATATGAGGGATCATTATGAAGAGTAAAATGATCATGCTTTCAGTGTAATTCACTATCTCTACCCTTAAATCTTGAATACGTCTTCAAGTATGATCCATCCAAACACTGCCACAACATCAAGAGACTGGAGGCTGCGGATGACGTCACATCAGTGTCCAAGCTGACTTGGGAGCTTGAAGGTGGAAACGATGAAATCAGTAAGAAAATGAGAGGAGAGTTTCCAAAGCAGAAACCGTGTCCCAAAAGATCCAAAATAGACTTGAGTTTGTTTCTTAGTAATTTGGCTCAAAGAAATGCAAATAATGCGGCTGCCATTGAAAACAAACCCAAAGTGGCGATCCAACAAAACGGACTCTCCGCTACAAAGACGGGAAAACAAAAATCTGTTTGTGTTTTGGACAACGACGCCGACTCTGAAGACGAAATCAGAATGTTGGTTGCTCAGGAACATTTGAGGAACCCAAAACAACGACGACGACAACCTAGAGGTGGTTGGAGATGATTTTATTGTCAAGTCTAACGTTTTCTGGGGTGGAGTGGAACAAGAGTCCCTACTAACTTCAAAAGACGATGAGGAATACGATTCTGCTGACACAGATGAAATACTCACCCAGAGAAAGACCCAGAAAACACAAAGTGAATCTACACCAGCTAGTCCAGATTCCTCAACAAAATCCAGTAAAAATGTGTCTTCATCCACATCTGATGATGATGATGTTAGCGTAGATTCTGATTATGAAGCAATGATGGGGAACTGCTACCGTTTAGATCTTTCCCTAGCAGACTTGGAGCAGCTAGCTAAAAAAGCAGAGGTGATTTCAGATGATGAAAGTGTCGAAGAAACCAAAGAAGACCCCAAGAGCTCCACCCAAAAGAACAGGCAATAACCCAGAAGATATTCTCGCCTCGATTCGTGGAGACGCCACCTCTGAGAAAGAGAAGAAGAATCAGGTAAACACTGTATCTCTTCCTGCTTTCATTGGAACGAAGGATCTCTTTGGAGGTCCAGAGCCCAGCCTGAAAAGAGTTGCCCAAAGTATAGACTGTGAATCTCCTAAACAAGACCTGAAATTGAAAGAAAAAAGCATCTTAGAAAATACAAGTCAACTGCAGACTTCAAACCGTCCATCTCAACAGGTAATGTCCACTTTAAAGGTACAATCAACCTCAAAAAAACTGGAGAATAAAGCGTCCATCTCAGAAGATGATTCTTCTAGTGAAGAATCAGAAAGCAGTGGTAATGAAGATGTCTTCACTTCTAAAGCATCTTCAGCGTCACAATCGGTAAGAACCATCACTGAAGCCAAACTAAGGACTGTTAGGTCTAATAACTCAAACACCCCAAACAAACCCAATCAGACGAAGACCTCTAGATTCTCCAGCAGTGACTCTTCTAGTGAAGAATCGGAAAGCGGTGAGGAAGAAGATAGTGCTGGAGTTTTTAGAAAGACCTCCAGATCCTCCAGCAGTGACTCTTCTAGTGAAGAATCAGAAAGCGGTGAGGAAGATGGTAATGCTAAAGTCTCCATTTCTAAAACATCTTCAGCAACACAATCGGCAAGAACCATCTCAGAAACCGAAGTAAAAACTGTTAGCTCTAATAACTCAATCAAACCCAAGCAGACTGTTTCACATCAAACAGTTCTTCACTCAACCGTCATAGACACTCGGAAACAACAGCAGGGCAACCAGAAACGTCTCGCTGCGCTGGAGCAACATCAGAAAGAAACCGAACAGCAGAGGAAACTCATTCAAGGCGCTCTTTCTAAAGTGGTGAGTAGAGCTAGTCCATAAAAGTTTGAAGTATTTTAAGTGAGGCTGCACAATGAATGGGTGCAATATTGGTTATTGGTCATTTTTAGATATATCTTTTAATTTAACAGTATTAGTCGGTTTTGATTATTTAATTGTTCATGCTCATTATTCATACTTTTTGCATTTTAGGTGACCTTTGTCATCATCTAATGCATGCATTTAGCATTTTTAAGTGTTTCATTTTTAATTTATTCAGATTAAATAGTATTGAATTTTAATATTGGCCATTTCTTATTTTATGCCATTCTTCATAAATTAATTATAAAGGAAAAAAGAAAAATTCCTTCACAGTCCTAAGTCTCGCAAAATTTATAAAAAACAAAAAAAGTAAAATCTTTTTTTTTTTCTTTTTGGTCAAGTTTTTTAATCAGGCTTGCAGTCATTTGTGTTGTGTAACAAGTTCTGAAACATTGCTAATAAATACACATTTTTAATTAGTAGTGTGCAGAATTGTACACATTTTGTATGTTTTGATCATGATGTTCTAGTACATAAATGATTTATAAAATGATTATTGTCTTATCTGTAGTGACCTGAATTTTAATATCATTGTATCCATCATTTAAAGTCGTAATTCACTGAAAATTGAATTTGTCTTATAGTCTTTTAGAGTCATTTACTCTAAGAAGATCTTTTTCAGGACACAGTGAAAGCGAAAAAAGTAAACGCATTGTGTTTGATTCTGATGAAGAAGAGGATGAAACCACAAGCAGACCAGAAGAACAACCAACAAACTTGAAAAAAGCCTCTTTGAGGACGATTCAGGATCCGATGAAGATCAACAAACGTCCACTTTGAAAGAAAAGGCAAATATGGACCAAGATTGGATATGGAAGTTTATTTTCTTGAATTCTTTGATTTGTTCTTCATGTTTCCATCATAATTCCACAGAAGAACAACAAGCCAGGTGGCAGCAAGCTGTGTGACAGTGAAGATGAGGACGATGGTGCTGAGGACGAACGGTTCCAGATCAAGCCCCAGTTTGAGGGCAAAGCTGGACAGAAGGTTTGGATTGAGAGTCTCTTTCAGGATGGAGAGATTCAGAGTTTGTTTGATTTCTCATTCATTTGTTTTCATCTTTTTTTTTTCAGCTCATGAAGCTGCAGGCTAGTTTCGGAACTGATTCAAGATTCCAGGTCGATTCTAGATTTCTGGAAAGCGACGATGAGTCTGAAGATCAAGGTCATTTATTACAAGTATGTTCTTGGGCTTGAATGTGTTTGAGAGAATTATTCACCTGTTTCAGTCTTTCAAATTTCAGATGCAGCGGCTCCAGAAAAAGATGCAGACGAACAACTTCTTGAGGGGAAAAAGAAAAGTCTAGACATCCTCCAGAGCATTTTAAACACCAGCATACAACCACAAAACACCAGAAAGGGCAAGACGTTCAAGTATGACTTCTTCAGATGTGCTTTCAGCACACAGTTTGTTCTTTTCACTTGTTTTTAAAGGTTTATGTACCTTGTTTGGCTTTGCAGAGATGTTTCGAGCCTGCATTACGACCCGACACAAGAAGAACATGCTGCTTTAGAGACCAAGACAGAGGAACCGAAGAAAGAGAGGTATTACATAAACTCATTTTTGGGTTTTAGTTAATATTGACTCACCGTGATGTTATTTAACATTTGCACTTTTGTTGTCGTACAGCAAAGCAGCGAGATGAAAGAAACGCAAAGAGGCTGAAAAACGCCTGTGTCTAAGGACATTTACTTTGACATCTCCGTGGATTTGAAGGAGGTCTTCGGGACATCTGAAGAAAACCAGGAAGAGAAGGAAACGGTTTCATGGGATAAAGAGGCAGAAGAGACTGAAGATATAATGAAACCCATGGAGGTTTCCTTCACGTCTAATGTAGAAGCAAAAGAAGACACTTCAGGTGGATTCAAGTTCTCCTTCTTTGGCGAGGACACAGCTGTAGAGACGACCACCAAGACAGGTGCACTGATCATTTATGTCATTTTTCATTGTAGGTAAATTATTGGGTATATCCTTGTACTTTAAAATTGGTTTTCGCCATTGGTTTCTCAAACTTTTTCATCCAGAACTGTTGTTTATGTTTATTTATGCAGGTTTTTTAAATCATAATGAGTTCTGAAATCACATTATACCACATATTACAGTTTTGTGTTAAAGTTTAAGTGTTTTTTTTTTTTGGCCAATCAGACGAGTACAAAATAGAGACGTTAAAAGGAGCCAAGTTCTCTTGGCAAGTGGACCCTCGTTTCCAGGACAGCAGTTCAGACGAGGAAGGCAGGGACGAGATTGAGGAGGACCAATCTGCTTCCAGCAAAATTACAGAGTAATTATATTAGCATTTAAATTATAATGCATTTATTATGGGAACTCAGAACTCATGAGTTATGGTTGATGTGTGCCTAACTGGGTGGTGAAATTGTGATGAAACGATGGGTTTGCTGAACCACAAGCAGTTCTGTCTTGGCAAGGTTGAGTTGAAGGTGATGGTCATGCTGAGATGCGAGCAGCTATCGTCGGATCATCAGGATGGAATGAGAGGGAGAGTTGAGCGTCATCAGCATAGCAGTGATATGAAAAACCATGTTTTTGAATGACAGAACCTAATGATGCTATGTAGACAGAGAAGAGAAGTGGTCCAAGAACTGAGCCCTGAGGTACCCCAGTAGTTAGATGTTGCGACTTGGACACCTCACCTCTCCAAGATACCTTGAAGGACCTATCTGAGAGGTAAGACTCAAACCACTCTCTTGAGCACTTTGATTAAATTGTGCATTCACTGTGGCATTCCACTTATTCACCAGTTTTATTTGTTCTTGACACAGGCTGATGACTGAAAAAAAAAATTTG